ATCTTAAAGGAATGAACTGAAGGGAGTGGGGTATCTTGAAGGAGTGAACTGAAGGGAGTGGGGTATCTTGAAGGAGTCAACTGGTGGGGATTGGGTATCTTGAAGGAGTGAACTGAAGGGAGTGAGGTATCTTGAAGGAGTGAACTGAAGGGAGTGGGGTATCTTGAAGGAGTGAACTGAAGGGAGTGGGGTATCTTGAAAGAGTCAACTGGTGGGGGTGGGGTATCTTGAAGGAGTGAACTGAAGGGAGTGGGGTATCTTGAAGGAGTCAACTGGTGGGGATGGGGTATCTTGAAGAAGTGAAATGGTGGTTGTTTGGGGATCTTGAAGGAGTGAACTGATGGGCGTGGGGTATCTTGAAGGAGTGAACTGATGGGGTGGGGTATCTTGAAGGAGTGAACTAGTGGGGGTGGGGTATCTTGAAGAAGTGAACTGATGGGGTGGGGTATCTTGAAGAAGTGAAATGGTGGGGGTGGGGGATCTTGAAGGAGTGAACTGATGGGCGTGGAGTATCTTGAAGGAGTGAACTGATGGGGTGGGGTATCTTGAAGGAGTGAACCAGTGGGGGTGGGGTATCTTGAAGAAGTGAACTAATGGGGGTGTGGAATCTTGAAGAAGTGAGCTGATGGGGGTGGGGTATCTTGAAGAAGTGAAATGGTGGGGGTGGGGGATCTTGAAGGAGTGAACTGATGGGGTGGGGTATCTTGAAGGAGTGAACTGATGGGGGTGGGGAATCTTCAAGGAGTGAACTGATGGGGGTGGGGAATCTTCAAGGAGTGAACTGATGGGGGTGGGGAATCTTCAAGGAGTGAACTGATGCAATTATTTTGAAACATTCTTTTTATCTAATCAAGGATGCCTTTTAAGTGTTAGAAAACTTGCGTGTGAGTGTTGAAAGTGTTGAGTATTGAGTATTGAGCTGAGAACTGGCATTAAAGAGCTCGAGATATTCCCGTAAGCAATCGTCCTCATTCTCAGCAGCCAGCGAAAAGTGAGTTCCAATTCCTGTGGTGCCTGTAGCTGTTGGATTATGTATCCATCCTGCCTTTCCTCCGAGTGTAGAGTGTTGATCAGATCCTCTGATGACTCCCAGCTGTACCATTCTCTCCAGACCATAATGATCGACTCTGCAATGCTAACTTGCTCCCAACAAATCTTGACCATAGCCATCTTGTCATTATTTTCACCAGCTGTAAACTCTGGCGGAAAGTTCTGGTTGTTCGTCCACTTTTGGAATGCAGTCCTGTTCCAGAACTTGAGTGTTGTGTGTGCATCCGTTTTTTTTTTTTTTGTCAAATCTGACTAATTCGTATAAGACTGTTGGTTCCTTGCCTCTCAGGCAGATGCACTTCGACTTTGAAGGAAGCTCCCAATTAGTCGACTCTTACGACATGCTTTTGTCTAGGCAGTGGGTCTATTTTTGTTTTCCCTATAACAGGGTCCCACGGTTAAGCTATCTTGTAAATGTTAGAACAAGCCCACTAGATAACAAATTAGGACTTTTGCTGAGTGAAAACTAATCTTATTTTCATCTGGACATCCCTGTTGCCGCCGACCTCATTCAGGAATGTTCATTGGTCGCTGTTTAACGATATGTTTGCTTCTGCTATCGGTGGTTCTATTCTGTGGTTTGGGACTGATGTTCAACACGAAGACAACAGCAGATGTAGCCAACTGTCCATGTCTGGAGATCACTGACAGACAGTTGGCCAAACTTTCTCCAGACAAAGATTGTGAGTATTTTTATTATCATCATCATCACTAGCAGGTCCTTTGCAGAAAATCGTTTTCGTCACGTCTTTCAGAAAGAATCTTGGTGTAACCCCAGCTCTCCGTCCTCGTGTACATTTTTACCCAAGGAGTCACTTATATTATGTTCCCAACTCCCTGCTGGTCGGCCTCTGCCCCTTCTTCCTGTTACCGCACCTTCTGTTATTATTTTTAATCCGTTGTTGCGCTTGATTTACCAGAATATCTCTGAAGTTTAGTAGCCAATCTTCCTCAATGTTAAGATTTTTAAGGATGTCATTATTTTTTTTTTTCTTTGCCCATGTTATTCTGAGAATCTTTCTAAAGATTAAAAGCCCTAATTATTGTCCTTTACCACCATGAGATAGTCCACGACTCACACCCGTATGTTGCTACAGGAAAGATGCAAGCTCTCAGTAACCTCTCTTTGATTTCCTTGTTGCTGAGCCATAGTTGTTAAATGCTGTTTAATCTGTGTATTGCTAATGCTTAATACCTACCTTCTTTTGACTTCTGTTGAACAGTTTCCATTGATGGTTATAATGGAGCCCAGATATTCAAAGCTTTGCGACATTTTCAATTTTTCATTGTAATGTTGGTTTGGGCCACAGGTAATTTTTGTAAATGGACATTACTTTTGTTTAATTCAAAAAAAAACAGGGTTTGATCCTCACTGTGTTTTATGGACAGACGTGATTATTTGTTCTATTTCCTGTACACTGTTCGAAAGAAGGACTGCTGGTGCTTTTTTAATATCCTACCCCAAACAGAGGAAATCCACAGGACAGTCGAATATTTCATGGGATGGTAGATAGGCTGCATGCAGTGGTGGGACCTAGGTTACACTCTCTCGTAGGACGTAGGGGGTTTGGGGTTAGGGCTTGTTCTATATGTTTTGTGGTCGTTAAAAGCCTTAGAAAGCCCAGAAAAAATCAAGTCTTACCACCCTTTAAATGTTGGACTGTCCTGTGACGTACTGGGAGTATGATATTAACAAATAACTGGAAAATCTACAGCACGGCACTTCGCTGTATTTGTAAGTATTTAGAGTTGATTCACTCATGGACATTCAATGCTTTAACTCTTTGCATTCACACGGGGGGAGGGGCGCGGGGGGGGGGGGGTAGGTAGGGGTGTCGGGCCCCATAAAATCGGCGCGGTATCCAAACAATCCGAAGGTTAAGGTCAGAGCGTCAGAATAAACGTGAACTGCCTAGCCTTTTGGTTCCTCGTGTGTCCTTACAAGAGATGAAGCCTTATTACATGATTTCGAAAACAGAGTCTTACGATGAATCTTTGGACTCATCAAAGATGCAAACAGCGGGGAATGGAGAGTGAGAAGCACAAACGAAATTGATATTATGTTTAAATCACCACTGATCACGGACATCATGAGAGCTAATAGACTGAAACTGTTGGGGCATATTGAGAGAATGTCAGATGACAGAGACGTGAAAATTGTATGCGCAAGGGAGATGACTGGTCGTAGACCACGAGGCAGACCAAGAAGACGATGAAGGGATAATGCCCAGACAGACCACCTTCAAACCTTCGGTGTCACCAACTGGAAAGAAAGGGCCAACCAGAGAGATGAATGGAGGCTGGTGAAATCTGCAGCAATGAACCTCAAGGGCTCGGAATGTGGAATAAGAAGAAAAAGATGTGTCCTTGCAAGTAATACTAGACTATGGATAAGTACAAGGCCGTGCGACATAAGGAACAAATACAGTTCATCTAATAAGATCATGCCAACAATGTGCTACCTGTGCCACACTTGCACTTCATCAGTCTAGCCTACGTAAAATTACCGCCTGCGAAATGAGATGCCCGAGAAAAGGCATCAACTTAACCACCCGAGACAACGTTCGAAATAAAGAATTATCAGCTGCGTTGGGTTGGTCACCTAGCTCGCATGCCAGACTATCGCCTCCCAAAGAGAGTACTTTATAGGGAGCTCCAGCAAGGAAAGAAATCCCAGGGAGGACAGAAAAAGCGCTATAAGGACACACTCAAAACTGCTCTCAATTTTTCTGGCATCAACAAAGCGACGTGGGAGGCTGGTGCACAAGACCGTTCTGGGTGGCTTACGTCCCTCATGCATGGTGCATCGGCCTGCCAGGCAGCGGAGGTTACACAGGCAGAGAAATGGAAGCAGACTAGAAAGAACCCTACTGCTAATCCCACACTTACTGCGGCCTCCACCTGTTGCCCGTACTGTTCAAGAACTTTCCAGGCTCATATTGGACTAATCAGCCACCTTTGTATTCTTAATCACTAATCATTACTAATTTGAATTAAAAAGTGGTCTTCATCACTCGTGATGGACTAACAATAAATTCCAAACACAAACAAGTGGACGTTTGGACCAGAAAGTCTTACTCAGCATAATTCAATACAAAGACAATGTTATAATTACTAACAAGATTACACAAAATAACTTAACTGAGGTGTCTCCAAGAGAATACCACGGGTTGTGTGATTAACTGAAGCTTTGACACGCGTGTGAACCAAGGAAATTAATGTCATGTTATGACAAGGGCAGACTAGGCCCTTACCTTTGGTTGGCAGCTCGGTTAAAAAGACAGCCCGGATAGGTCAACTTTACCAGAAATCTCTTGGATAAACTACCGGGGATCTGCAGGAATGTCATGGAGATAATTAGCGGATGTTTTCACTGTAAAAGCGATAGCTACTTCAAGCAAGTCTATCTACATTTGACAAGAGAAACATTGTGAAGACGATTTATGAACGAATTCTAATGAATAATTAAATATCACAAAACACAACATGCGCAAAGTTGCAAGAACTTTTGAATTAAGTGTGGATAGGATACGTCAAGAAAGAAAGCGAGTGTGCTGTGGATGACACTGGATGATCAAAGACGGTGTCGTGGGTTACACTAGATGATCAAAGACGATGTTGTGGGTTACACTAGATGATCAAAGACGGTGTGTCGTGGGTTACACTAGATCAAAGATGGTGTGTCGTGGGTTACAATTGATGATCAAAGATGGTGTGTCGTGGGTTACACTAGATGATCAAAGACGATGTCGTGGGTTACACTAGATGATCAAAGACGGTGTGTCGTGGGTTACAATTGATGATCAAAGACGGTGTGTCGTGGGTTACAATTGATGATCAAAGACTGTGTCGTGGGTTACACTGGATGATCAAAGACGGTGTGTCGTGGGTTACACTAGATGATCAAAGACGGTAATGGACATGACACTATATGGTCGCTGGTGGTGCTGTGGATGCCCCTGGATGATCAAAAACAGTGTCGTGGATGACACTGGTGGATCAAGAAAATCTTACATTGTACCCTCTACTTAAAACTTTCGAGTCACAAGTGCTATCAATCTTTTCTTATGGTTAGTTTTGATTTATGAATTAGACCTGAGCTGCGGTTGTTTCAGCTGACGTTGACAAGAGTGCTGACTATTACGGTGCCGATGACTACGATTCAGATAATAATCGTCATGATAACGATGATGATGATGTTGGTGAGGATATTTATAAACAAAGGGGTTTTCGTACTTTCATGACAGTGAACCAGGAGAGTTTACCGGGTCATGTCACGTCACTATCATCAGGTGCACATCTGGCGAAATGGCAGAAGGAGCAAGGCAATATTACAGTAAGTTACTGAAGTTACTGGGAGTGTGTGAGTGTGTGAGAGAGAGAGAGAGAGAGAGAGAGAGAGAGAGAGAGAGAGAGAGAGGTGGATAGAGAGACAAGATAGAGATATGGAGAAGGAGACAGACAGACAGACATATATAGAGAAACAGAGAGAGTGAAAGGGAGAGATACAAAGAGATGATAGAGAAAGAAAGAGAGATAGAGATTAAAACAGCTTGGCACCATGTATTAACAACAACAACTTTACGAAATATATAAAATGAAAGAATGAGGGAGGACAGGGTAAGCTAAAATATTGTGATTGCTTTTTCTACACCAGCTTTGCGCAGAAGGAAAATAAGGAAGAGGAGAAGGAGAAGATTGTTAAAAATCTTTTTTAAACCGTTATTCAAGAAGTCTGATTGCGGAAGTCGAGTACGTGACCCTAATGTTGAAAAATTCTTGTGTACTACGTCATGATGTTAGTGTTATCTGTGATGCCTCCAGGCTACGGGCCCGAACAAATTCCAGCCCAACTGGTGGAGGAGTCACACCAGACGAACGTGCCAGAAGCTTGGCCTCAACACCAGCCAGAATGCCCTAACCCCGAGCATGCTGGCGAGTGTTCTTGTCGACAAGAACCACATGGTGAGAGTTCTTCTTTATTATCTTTGGTGCAAATTAAGATTTATAACTCATTTATTATATTGTCAACATCGTAAGCATTAGCGTCGATAAATTCAAACGATTCAATTCCCTTACTTGATGCCTGTCGAAATATGACAAAAGAAGATAAAAGCATCAGATGTTATCCCAAATTGTTAACCTTATCAGATGTCAGTGTCACGTTGGCCAGAAACGAAAATGAAACCTGTTCGGTAAAGTACAAGCCAACAAAAAATGTACTTGGCGTAGTGACACTTCGATCCCCTTGAAGCGGTTTGCTTGGTACCTCCTACAGTGCTCCAATCGTATCTTCCACTCTTGTTATTCTTCTTCTTTTTCTTTTTCTTCTTCTTCTTTTTATTTCTTTCTTTTTTCTTCTTCTTCTTCTTCTTCTTCTTCTTCTTCTTCTTCTTCTTCTTCTTCTTCTTCTTCTTCTTCTTCTTCTTCTTCTTCTTCTTCTTCTTCTTCTGCTGCTGCTGCTGCTGCTTCTTCGTGTTCACCGGCTAGTACCTCAGGCGAAAAGTTATGGCTGTTCGTCCCTCTCCGAACTTTAGTCTTGTTCCGGAACTTAAGTTTTGTGTACATATCCATTATACCGATCTGGCGAATTTGTATACAGCCTGTTGGTTCATTGCCTCTCGTGCAGATGCTCTCCTACTTCGAAGTCACATCTTAAGACATGCTTGTTAGCGAAACAGTGAGGCTCTATTCTTGTTGTCCACTCACAATTGGATCCCAGCACTAACAAGGGGAAGTTTTTGAGAGGACAAAAAATATATTGATGTTGTATGTCTTCTTTACCAGATCCTCTACTGCCAAATCGCCAAGGTGGCATCCACCAACCTGGGCAAGATCTTCGCCATCCTGGCCGGCAAGTTCAATGGAACTGACCCCAACGCCATTAAATCTAGTGATGTACACTGGGTGTTCAATAAGCTGCAGACACACCTGGATGTCTTCCCCAAACACGTTATGCAAGACATGTTAAAGCGTTACTTCAAGTTTACTTTTGTCAGAGACCCATTTGAACGTCTTCTCTCTGGCTACAGAAACAAGTTCCTACAACCCTCATCCAGCTATTTCACCTACATAAATAAGAGGCTCGTCCTGAAATACAGAAAGAATTCCACACAGACCGGAGGAGTCACTTTTCCCGAGTTTGTGTCCTATTTGTTGGACAAGGAACGGAAAGTTCCAATGAACAGACATTGGCAGCCGATGTATGAGATCTGCAGGCCTTGTGAAACCAGCTACAACTTTATTGGGAAAATCAACTCTCTCGAAGAAGACGTGTCGCACATTCTTGAAATCAACAATCTCACAGGTATAATAGATATTTCCAAACTACCCAAATCTTATAGTCCCCAAAAGTCAGATCACTATCTAGGTCATTATTATTCCCAAGTACCTAGACCACTTTTATTGTTGCTTTTTCAGATGTATTACGCAGACTACGCCATTTTATGATTTTCAAATTCCAACAGTGATTCAAAAATTGATAACAGGAAGTGAAAACGATACACTTCGGTAAACAGGATGTGACTTTATGTTGATCAGTCTCTTTGTCTGGCTGGTCTACTTGTGTCACTGCTACTCTCTCATGCAGCTGCTGTCTCAGCTCACAAATCAACGTTTCCTTGTTAACAGTAATGTTATTACTGCACCTTGCGGGTTGGAGCCTAGGTTTTTTTAGGCCGACAGGCTAGCGTCTAGCTCCTATGCCAACGCTCCTTCTCAAAGGAAGGTGTGTGTGTAGTGTATGTATACCTTAGTTTGTATATGCTGTTATCTATGATATAAACATAACATCCGGTAATACGTGCAGCAGGGGAAACCAACCCTGAGCATCATGAACTCAGGTGGGCCCACTCTCTGAAAATGTCTAGAAGCTCGTGGGCCGAAACATTTGTCGACGAGAGGTTACTTCTACTGATGATTGGTAGACTCCTGCTGTACATGCTCCCCTGTGGAGTTTCTTCATATAGTTTGTGTGTAGTGTATATATGCCTTAGTTTGTATATGGTTGTATGTATGATTAAGTGTGTATGTAGTGTATGTATTTTGTGTGTGTGTGTGTGTGTGTGTGTGTGTAAACATGGCTCAAGCCAAATGAAATCCCTTTTGCTCCACTGAAATTTATCAAGACGCTGTAAACTCCACAATGCTATCTTCGTGTCGGCGCCCCTGTATAGAAGTGTTATGCATGATTGCCTGCTGCTAAATAAACCCGAACACCATACAGAACATCAGGTGTACCTTAGCACAGATAAGAGGACGTTTACATCACAAGAACGGACACAGCCAACACCTACAATAGACCTAGCTGCACTTTCCTGGGAAACGGACAAAAGCGTGTGGTCTGGAGGGCCCTTCTGCTCAGGAACGATGGCGGTCACAAACGAAAGTTGTCATCAACAAAATGAAACCGGGCATGTCATGTGTATTTACATATGCAATGAAATAACATCAGGACTGCGGTAATCGCTGTCGTTTCCTGTCCCCGACAGGACGCTTACATCATAGCACTGTGACCTTTGACACATTCATTAATTATTTCCAACAGTGGTTCTCAAACGATAAGACCGGAGGACCCATCTTATTTACAAAGGCCTGCTACGGAACACATAATGTTCTAATTGTCATGTTTATAAACAAAAGAATGGTTGAGGGTTGTGTATTCCCCCCCCCCTCCTCCCGCCCCGAACTCAAAGAACCCTGCAGTTCCTGTGAAAGGTCCAGTAAAAATGTTATATGGTCCGTGTTCCCAGGAACGGGTTAAGGTTACGGTTAGCCGGTGTTCATTTTCAAACGGCACCACCCCTGAGTTATGAGTTATGAGCTAGATATCTTTACAGCACACTGCACACAACCATAGGCGCTCAGATTCGCCTCTCAACATTTTCATTAATACCAGTCCTATGTTGGTTAACAAGACTTCGTGTGCGTCCAGTGTGCTTCTCATGCTTGGCTGTGCCGATCTTTACTCCCAATTCGCGTACTCTTAGAAGTGATGTTGACACGTTGCTTCCAAAATCCTCAGAACGTCCTAAGGGCAATGACAATGTCTGCGTGATCCATGGGCCGGCCATCTTCAATTAATGCAGTGCCTGCCAGTCTATCAGCTCTCTCATTACCAACAACGCATGCATCCCCTGAGACGAATATGAAAGTAACCGCACACACATGAGAATTTTGCACCACCCCTATAATATTTGACTTTCCGTTTGTGGTTAATTATTAAAAAATAAAAACGCCCTTCCTTCTTTCCCTACTACAAATCACGGACACCTTAAATTTTTTGCACAGATCACTTGATTTCTTGCCCCAACAGTTGGGAACCACTGAAACAAAACATAAATAAAGAGACAGGCCGGAAGTCTCAAGCAGATCACGTGGTAGGGTGTGAAAAGTGTTCTTATGTCTGGATAGTGAGGTTAACGGTGCTTCTCACAGTGTAGAGTCCCGGGAACATATTTTGTGAATTTAAAAACTGACACACTGGACCCCAATAAGGCTGTCCAAACACAATAGGAAAGAGAATAGTTTGTTGAAATCGGATGTGTCACTCGTGCTAATTGCCCTCTTTGGGACGAACGAATAATAGGAAAAAGACGACTAAGAATAAGAAGAAGAAAAAGTAGAAGCAGAAGAAGAAGAAGAAGAAGAAGAAGAAGAAGAAGAAGAAGAAGAAGAAGAAGAAGAAGAAGAAGAAGAAGAAGAAGAAGAAGAAGAAGAAGAAGAAGAAGAAGAAGAAGAAGAAGAAGACGAAGAAGAAGAAGAAGAAGAAAAGAAGAAGAAGAAGAAGAAGCTTGTAGTCGAGACAAAAGCCCCGCTATCTTCTTTTACAGTTTTCCTTTAAACCAGAACCGTGAAATTCAATGAACTTTGTAGGGGTCAAACGACGGATCCTTCGGTGTAGATAACTGCACCCCTGTTAGCAGAATTTCAACAATTAAGGCTTTAACTTTCGTCTCAAACACCAGCGGGCCTTTAAAAGATGTACACCCCTCCCCTGGCACTCATACACATTCCACAGTTGTGTCAGGATCAGAGTTACATGCAGATCTGTTGAACAGATCTGGCTTATTTGCTTTCTTAAATTGCGACTTAGAATGAAGCTACCACTTAGTCTACTCTCACGACGTGCTTGTAAGGGAGTAGGTCCATTCTTTCTTCATACCCGAGCCCATACGAGGAAAAATAAAGTATTAAACAAAGAATACAGTAAAGCTGCATCATGCTTGTTTTACTTACAATTCCTGCCTTAAAAAAAAAAACACACACACACACACACAGAGCAAAAATTAAAATGTTATCTAGGGGTACCAAGAATAATTTGGAAAACTAGGAGAATATCGTGCAAAGATAACATCAGAGAAACTCTACAACAATATGCATTTTGACTATGATCGAACCGACCAGACCCCGACCTGGCTGCTTCGAGATATTAAGCTAAGTGATTCTGTGTATTTGTCTGGTATTGTTTCTTCTTCTTCTTCTTCTGCGTTCATCCGAAGATGTAATTGCGTTGTGTCCGTTTACAGCATGGCTGCGATATTTGCACCTTTCGGCCAACACATCCGACTTCTGCGGGCATTCGTTGACCGGGTTAGCCTTCTTGTGTGTGGTATTGTTTGATTTATGTATGTGCTGATGAAGGTCCTACGGCCGCAACGTTCACGTTTTGTTTGTGTTCTTTATATTGTATAGCTTACTGATATACTTTTCGTTCAGTTTTTTATCTTGACCAGAAGAGCAAAATCTTGAACCTCACACCCTCCTCGACATCATGATCCTCATCATCACTATGCTGTTGTGCCATTCAGATCACACACAGCTCGTTGTCTATTTCTTTATTCCCTTGTATCCTGTGCACTCCCTTAGATATCATAGACTAAGACCAGTTCAGAACTTTTATCTTCTCTCATGGTGATGACGACATTCAACCCCACCTGGACAACACACCATGCGATATACATCCGGTGACAAAAAGTCCCAATATTCGCACGAGGATCACAGGTACAAGTCGCAGAAACCCCATCCAACCTATAGGTTGAGTTATATTAGGGCGAACGACGACAACCAGGGTGGGACTTTAAAACAACAAAACATTGCAAGTAACATCGGGACACATATGCAGCTTTTCTCATTAAAGTTTGTTAACCTGGTAATCTGATAATCTTAGGTTCAGCTTCAAAGCAAACGGTGTGACCCTATAGTTTCTCCGCTCCTGTGCCAACGAAAAATACACAGAATGTTTATCACAGTCCCTTCTGAAAAAACGGACAAACTGCTGTCTCAGCATATGAACTAGCATACACTCGCATTAAAAGAATACGATAGCTATCCGAAGTGCTGACACAAACAGTCCGACATTTGAAATGCAGTTCAACATGGATGGTAGCACTAGCAGGTCACAAACAGATCACCAGTTGCACATGCAATCAATTTTAATCACATAATGGCACCACCAATATTGCGACACCATTTTCTAAATCTACAATTCACAACACCACGTTGGTCACAGTAAAAAAAAAAAATTCAAAAACAAAATCTTCAGCTCACAGTGTCACGCCATGCACTCAACTCAGAAGCTGGGCAACAAAACTATATCCTCTCAGTCTACAAATGGAGCACAAATGCAACGGCCACCGTCAAGCAGAAGCAAAAAATTTGCTATGGATCAAAACAGTGACCGTGCCTAGCGTCCAATTTGACCGGAACAAGCTCATCTCTATCTATCTTCTTTTACTCCACTAGAACATCACACACGCGATAAACATCGCATGACACAAAGTACCACCATGTGAATGAGGATCACCAATTGAGAGGTCCCAGAAACCGCGTTCAGCCATTAGACCATTTTTCTGGCTGGGCTATATTGCGGCCCCTGGCAAGAGCCAGGGTGGGGCTTCAAATAACGAAAAATGCATTCCACAAAGGAATGACAACATAAGTACAAGCTCATCAAAGTTTACTTTAGGGTATCTCTTAGATGCCCTCTTTTGTCTAGTTCCTTTAGTTCCTATCTCTGTGCCTGTTCATTCCCTGCTTGTTTTTTTTTTTTTTTTTCGAGATGTGCCCGGCACAGGGTTATCCTCTGTTTGTTATACGTTTTTGATACCAGTAAATTTAATTAGTTGCATATCCTTTACAGGACGCTGCAGAACCAACCCCAGCACTTTCTGGCTGTTGTGGTTTTCCATGCAAATTAACGTCGGTAGTTTGCCATTGCTTTCTCGACTTTGATACCAGTAACTGCCAGATATTTCACCTATTTTCTCACCCCTCCTCCATTCATCCCATTTAGTGAGCATCTTTTTTCCTCAGGACTGACTTACTAACTTTCTACCACACAAGGACGTCACACAAGCGATAATTACCCGATGACACAATGTGCCACCATGTGGATGAGGATCACCGTGGAGAAGTCCCAGAAACCGCGTTCAGCCAATTGGCCATATTTA